TGTTAAGCGTGTGAGTTTCTAATTGAGGAGCATCGACCGCGTCAAAAAAGCGTCTTCGCGAAGGAAATGAAGCCAGAGTCACCGCGAGTCGTTCCTTCTGTCCTCGCTGTCTCTGTCCCTAACTGCCTGTCTGTAACCCTTACCTCTCTATCTCTCTCTATCTCTCTCTCTCTCTCTACTCTCAACCTCTCTCTCTCTCTCTCTCTCTCTCTCTCTCTCTCTCTATCTATCTATCTCTCTCTCTCTCTATCTCTCTACCTATCTCTCTCTATATATATATCTCTCTATCTCTCTCTCTCTCTCTATATATATATATATCTCTCTCTGCCCCTCATTTCCCTCTCATCTCTCCCTGTCATTCTCTGTCCCTCTCCCTCCATCTCTTCTTGTTCCCCCGACTCCCTTCATTCACCATTTACATACTTGTAGCTCACCCTTTCATCGTTCGTCGGCAGATGGGGCACTTGGCCTGAGGAAGCTGGATCATGCCCAAGGCGGGAGTCCGCTGGAGCTCGCGCGAGATACACTCACGGCAGAACTGAAGGGCGCCCAAACAAACAGAAGGACGGGGCGAAAAAGCGGGGGAGAAATACGTACGAAAAGAAATAACGAAAAATAGGCAAAAAAATGAAGGACGAGGCGAAAAGAGGAAAAAAGTCCGTATGAAAATGACATAACGAAAAACAGAAACACAAACAAATGCAAAACCCCCCGGGATGAGGTAGGCTCATGAGCGTGTCTGGATGCCAGAAGCTGCATGAAATTGTTGTTGTTGTCTTTACATGAACAAAAAAAAAACGCTCCCGTCTCCCCTCAGTACCGTCTAATACCCGTACTGGTCTAACTGATCCAGACGCCTTCGGTGGTCACAAGCCAACTACCAACTACCCAAAGAGGGGTACACCTGTCTGAAACGAAAAAAAGGTGCCATGTTTCTCCGGTAGCTGTAGCTTGGACTAGCCTGCGCGACTGTGGACCAGAGTGTCGGTAATGTTCTTGGTAGAGGCCAGCATATTACATACTGTACTGATGTATTATAATGTACAATGTATCTGGTCTCTCCAAGAACAAGACAGATACCCTGGTACGCAGTGGCGCAGGCTAGTCCAAGCTACAGCTACGGGAGCAGAGCAGGCCAGATCGAGAGTGCGTCTGTCTTCGACTGCGGGGATGGTTGTCGCGAAAGGTACAGCGAGCGGCGCCCGAACGTCCACTCACCAGATGCGCACACTTGGTAACGGTAGGGCGGACTACGCTGCACATGCAGATGGGACATGACACCGGCTCTCCCGCCATTGCCTTATAGATGGCTAGATACCATGGCAAGTTGTTGCCCGCGGTGATAGCGGCGGTGGCGGGGCGGTTTCCGTGTTCGTCCAAGTACAGTAGGTGCCGCGGCGCAACGGGCGAGCGGGGGGCAGAAAGCGAGCGGGGGAATTCGAACGACGCCGACAAGGTGGCGGTACGTAGTGGTCGTAAGCGCGTCCACGGACGGTTCAACGAGGACGCAGCGAACATGGAGGATACAGAGATAGAGAGGATGTGTGGGTGTCTTTATTTTTGGCATCGACCGCGCAAACCGGCTGACCTCGTGTGCGTGTGAAAAATGGTCTCGACCGTCACAAGGGACGAGCACAGCGTGCAATCTGGTACAGCGGCGAGCGCTACTGAAGCGGCACATGCTACCACGAACCGACGGAATTAACCACAACAACACAAAAAAAAAAAGTTTATAGCCGGTTTTTCTTCCACAACTGCGAACACTTGAACACATCTCCTTCGGATGCTGTGGCGATATCTCGAACGGCTAGTCTTCCAGTGATGTTATACGTTCAAAAACCACCTCCCTGCCACCACCACCACCACCACCGCTAGCAACAGCAACAGCAACAGCAACAGCAGCAACAGCAACAGCAACAACCACAACTACCTTCAAAAAGCACCACCACCACCAACCACAACGATGACGAAAATGCGATACCTTCAAACACCACCACCGACAAAAACCTGCACCTTCAAAAAGCACTACACCACCACCAACGACAGCAACCACGACCGCGATACCTTCAAACACCACCACCACCCACCAAAACAAAAAAAAAAACGCCAGTCCCGCTCACCGCTGAAGCCCGCGACCTGCACCTCCGTGTCCTTCTTGGCCTTGTCGCTTGCAACAAGCAGGTCAACGTACGGCTTCCTCCGGGTGGAAGTGGAGAACCGATACACCGACCCGGCCTTGACTGCCCCTTCCGACCACTCGCATGCCAGGGTCGCCGATCTCTCTCCGATATCCTTGGGGATACATACCAGGGTCATGCAGGGGTGGGAGAAAGTCCAGGATCAGCGACGGGGTTTGGTTTCGGCTCAAAAGACAAAGCGCGGGTGGGGGGGACGGGGGGCAACGTCGCTGAGTTGTCTGCCCGGGCGGCCTTTGTGCCAGGGTAGTTGAAAACCTAACCCCCAAAAAACGATCCCGGAAATCACCCGGCCATCGTCATTCCGGCCCACAACCTGAATCGCCTCAAACCATGGACTCATTCATCGTGAAGCACCTCACCTCGATGGTCGCCTCGTTGTCCTCCGAGTTGACGCCCACCCTGATCGTGTCCGAGACCTTGAGGAGCTTCCGCACGTCGAAGTCGGCCTGGCCCTCGTCCCTCTTTCTCTTGCCCTTCCCCTTCGTTTTGCCGCTACTGCTGTTGCTGCTGCCGCCGCCGCTCTCTGCTCCGCCGTCGCCCTGAACAAGCAAAAAAAAAACAAAAAAAATCAGACCTCCGTTCCTACCCTTGCTTTGCTCCTCGTCTTACACAGCTTTTGCATACACTGTGTGAGCCCTTGTTGTCCCCGGATAGAAAACAGCGGCCCAATGTTAGTGCACGACCCCCAAGCCTACGGCACCAAGAACTACGACAACAACACCAGCCACACCACCACCACCACCAACGCCAGCTGCAACAACAACAAAAGCAGCAGCAATAGCAGCAGCAGCAGCAAGCAGCAGCAGCAGCAGCAGCAGCAAGCAGCAGCAGCAGCAGCAATAGCAGCAGCAATAGCAGCAGCAGCAGCAGCAATAGCAGCAGCAATAGCAGCAGCAATAGCAGCAATAGCAGCAGCAATAGCAGCAGCAATAGCGGTAGCAGAAGCAGCAGCAGCAGCAGCAACAACAACACCACCACCCGCCGTGTGTACCCGCACCGTTTACCTCCCCACACCACGCCTTACCTCCGCCACCGACCCGGAGGGGGGTGACGGCGCCGCCGGCAGCAGCGCGGGGGGTGGCGCGACCCCGAAGCGGAGGTCGACGCTGCCCGTCACGATGTCCGCCTTGGGCTTCAGAACCGCCCACGACCGCGGGACCGGGAGACCTTCCTCCTCGAGCCTGAGACGGCGGGGAAAAGACACATGGGAACGCGCCGGAACAGGCCATAGCACAAACGAAATATGCGGGATAGCAGTAAGAGTTCTTGCCGAGAGGCTTCAGGCAATCACCGCCGCTGGTGTACAGCAGTCACCTCGACACAACAACAGCCGGGGGGAGGGGGGGCGCCGCGCCGGTGGAATGTAAGAACCTTGCGCAAGACTCAGGGGGGCGAGAGACATACAACGCGGTCCATGTACAACAGCGGAGCCCTTGCCTGTGCTGTAGCTGCGACAGCGGCATCGCCTGCAGCGAGTCCCTGAGCGTGATCTCCCGCCTCCCCGCCGACGGCCCAGTGACGGTTCCCCTTCCCCTGTTCCCTTTCATTGGCGCCGGAGGAGGGGGGGGGGGGGGGGGGGTGTACTCATAGTCGTGCATGCCGTAGTCGTTTGACCATTGACCTCGCATCCCTACAAAGCCGGGACGGAGCACGCCGGGTTCTCACCGGACCAGGCTCTCACATCACCAAGCGCGAAGCGCCGTGAGGTATTTGGCGAGTCGCATGAAGGGTGAGCTGCATCCTGCTAAGGGTGTTCGGCATCTTGTGCTTACTTCCTTGCGTACGGATGACAGCTACGTATGACTTAATTTATTTTCTGGTGCTTTCACTTCCAGAGACAGTTGTAAGCACTGTGTAACTGCCTCGAGGGTGCTTGACCATTTTAACACAACGTGGTGCGATCATCCCCCGTTGCGCGGAGTGAGGTTTCTCGCCCCCGCACAACATGATCTACTCGACCACCATTATGGTTACCGCCAAAAAAAAAAACGAGGTAAAAAAAAAAAACGGTAACCTGGTTGCCGAGTTCACGAAGTGAATTGGCTTGTTTTACAACGTCGTTGCCAAGCGACGAAAACCCAATCCCGATGGCAAACACCGAGTGGGGGGCGGAGGAGGGGGGGGGGGGTTTCCCGGGATGATGTTGAAAAACTTCAAGCGACGGCACACCAACGGCACACGCAGCAACGGATTGGAACCTTCGACACCATTTACACGGCTGCGCATGTGCATGTGAGAGAGATCAGAGAAAGGCAAAAAACCTCAAGCCAGGGTGCACCAACTACAACACTCCCGGGGCGCATGCCGCAGCAGGTTCGAACTTTCGACACCATGCACACGGCGAGGTATGCGTGTGCGTGTGAGAGATAGAAAAGAGACAAAAAGGATGCAACATCAGCCAACGACCCTAATCCTGCGAGAGCAAAAAACGAGAAACGAATCTAGGCCCGCGGACAAAGCCAAAAACTAGGCTCTGCCCAAGCCCAAGACATGGACAGCACTTGCTCGATTCGCCGAAAAAATCGAGATTTTTTTCACCGAAGCGAGACACGATACTCCTGCATCAGAGGACGACGACGGCGACGCTATCAGCAACCACACACGCAAAAAAGAACACCGTGAATACGACGGACACCTCGCAGGGCGGAAGCCGAAGTGGCAAGACAGATAGATCCCATTGTTTCAGTCGTTGTTGTCCTCTTAACGCCAAGACCAGCAACAGCAGAGGAGACCAGCAACAGCAGACGCAGAAAAGAGGTAAACTCCATGTCGTGGATGGCCGCCTCAAGCGGTCGTTACATTTCGCAAAAAAGCCAACCATTCAAACAACAACACCACAGATGTGCTCTGGGAGAAGCACTTCACGTGCTCAGCTACACTAAGACCGGTGGCCCATCTCTCGTTTTGCCAATACTGTGTGGTAGTGGTGGATGCCAATACTCACAAAAAAATGACACAACGAAACACACAGCACAGCACAGCACAGCACAGCACAGGAAAACACAGCAGGGCAACACCAAATCCTCACGGTTGAGTCCGCCCATGTTGCCCGCGCCCTTCTGCGCCAAGCGACGGAGAACTTCCTCCGCTGGGAGCGTCTCGATCGCGTCCGCCCTAGCTTTCAGCTCCGCCTGGACATTCGCCTGAAACGTGTCAAGGACAACAGGGGTACATACACACAACGCCGCCGGCGACGGGCGACGGGCGACGGGGGGGGCGTGCTCGTACTCTTATGTTTTGCATGCCTTAGCGGTTAGAACATTGACCACGCGTCCTCGAGAGGACGGAGCATTGTTCCCACAGGACCGATCACCGATGACCAATCGGCGACGGGCGGGGCGAGGTGAAATAATGCAAACGACGCATGCCGTAGTCATTAGACCATTGACCTGGCACGGGAGAGGTGTTTGCATAGTCGTGCATGCCGTAGTTGTTAGGCCATTGACATCGCATCCCCACAATGCCGGGACGGAGCACGCAGGGTTTTCACCGGACCAGGCTATCACATCACCAAGTACGAAGCGCCGTGAGGTGTTCGGCGAATTGCTTGGAAGATGTGCTTCATCCTACTGGGGGAGGGGGTGTATTCTTTGTGGGAAATTTCTCGTTGAGAACCTGTGGTCATGCTGCTCGGGACCTGGCAACGAGGATTGGAGTGGTCCTGTGGCCCCCCTGTGGAAGTGGCGCGCATCGTATCGATCGGAGAGAGAACCCTTGGACGGAACTATCTCCGAACTTTCTTTGTCCGGTTTGGTTGGTCTTCTGATGTCCTTGCGACACACCAAGTACTCCATTAGCGTACATCAAGAAACAAACAGAAATCCGACGTTGGCGCCCGGTGGAGGGTTTCGAATGTCGCAGGCGGCATGCACGCTTGTTGTTCACCACGAGAGAGAACAATAATAATAACCAACAGCTTCATTGTGCGCTCGCCCGCTTCCTTCGACGACACGCGCACCACCGCAAATCGCCCGCCTACCCACACCCCTGCCACCACCAGGACTGAAAAAGCAGGCTGGAAGAAAAACCAAAAACACCGATCGGCATACACACCACCACCACCACCGCCGCAAAAAAGCGCCGCTGCGCTTGCCTGCAGTTGAGACGCCATGGGTGCCGGCCCCGCCATGCCTCCGACGGGAAGCCACTGCCACAGCGGCTGTACGGGTGCAACCACCTGGATGGATCTCTTGAGCATGTCCAGCTGATGAACGAAAGAAGACCCCACAGGAAAAGATAGACAGGGAGAGACAGGACACAGAGATAGAGAGAGAGCGACAGAGAGAGAGAGATAAAGACGGAGACAGATAGACAGGCAGAGAGAGAGAGAGAGAGAGAGCGAGAGAGAGAAAGAACTTGAACAAAATGAGCACCAACCAGATCGTTCGTATTGTGTTTGTGCTTGTTTTTCGCGACCAAGCTGTTGCGAAAAAAAAGCGCGTGCGTGCAAAAGACATCGGCAAATGAGAAGGAGCGATGACTTCGTGGCTCCTCGAGGCGTGATAGTTGCACATGCGCTACACACGCCTCCTTGTCACTACACCTTGCCGATACAGCACCTCCTTTGGAACGCACCTGCTAATAGCCGATACTGTACCTCTTTTTGGCCGCAGCCGTTGATGGCTTGTGGGGAAAGAAGGACCGCCTTCTTGACGGGATATTCAGCATCATACGTAAGGAAATAGAACAAGGAGAGGGTACGCAGACCCTATTCCCTAACCGTAAGCCCAACCCAACTTCCCCGATTGCATGCATTATCCAACATGTTTACTTAATTAATGCAAAAAACCCTGCGAAGGCTACTGGGAAATAATCGTCACGTCACACCCCCTGTTAGCCGGAGATGGTAAAAGGGAAAGGTTATATTATAAAAGCCAGATCCAATCGACTCAGGTCAAGGCGGATTTTCACTGGAAGCAAGCGGCCGCACCAACTAAAACAGCACACCACCACCACCACCACCAGCAACCACCAATAGCAACAGCTCCCAACACCGTGGATACACAGCACCGCACAGCAGCAGCAGCAGCAGCAGCAGCAGCAGCAGCAGCAGCACTTCCATCATTACAACACGAACAGCGTTCATCATCGTGGACATGCAGCACAGCACAGCGGCAGCATCACCGTTACCACCACCACCACCAACTTCAATCGTCGAAATACAGCACAGCAGCAGCAGCAGGAACACCACCACCACCACCACCACCACCACCACCACCACCTTCCATCGTGGACGTGTACACCCATATACCAACCTGGCCAAGGTTAACAAGCCCCGGGTGTGTCGAAGCCTTCTGCATAAGCGCCAGCAGCGACTTGAGCTTGGTGAACTCCCGACGGCCCATGCCATTCGCCTCTGCTCCCCCGGCGGAACCTCCGGCTGAGAAAAAACAAAAGAAAAAAAATAAAAGGGAATGGTTGAGTCGTCACACGGACCGGATCGACCGAAAAACACAACATGAAGATGCCCGTTAGGGGGTGCTCGGCAGAATGCCGATCAACGGGGCCTTCAGGGGTAAAAGCGGATGATATGTGTTTGACGGGCACGCCGCGTGGGGAGAGTACTGGCTCCCGCATGTCGGTCACTCTCTAAGAAATCAAGGTCTTGAGTCAACCGGGGTTTTCTCTTTCGGCCTCTGACCAAGCTGCCGCCCACAAACAAGGCCGACGAGGCATGTATCACAGATTCTGCAAGGTTGTCGCATGGACACAGAAAGCCTCCAGTCATCACCACAACTCCGGGTGCATGCACCACAAACACACAACCACCAGATCATGTATGCCGTGGCAGCGCACACGAAAAAAGGGATCGGTTCCACGCAGGGCGCAAGAGGTTGGTTCTGCACGTTAAGCAGGCTCTGCGTGCCTGTTTCGCTGGGATTGTTTTTCCTCGCTATCACCGCATCTACCACCACCATCAACAAAAAACGAACAGATGATACCAACGACGATGGCGATGACAACAACAACAACAACAACAACAACAACCAGCAGCTCTCCCTCCTACCTGAGGACTCTCTTGCAACGTTCTCCTCCATCTTCCGGCACACCGTCGCGCAGAGGTTCTCCAGGTATTTGTAAACATACCTGAAAAAAAAAAAAAGCGCGCGCACACACAACGTCAGGCTTGTGCACCGAAACAACGCAAGGTTGATGCCGTTGTGCTGTTATTCTTGTGTGGCCATAGCGGTTGCCGTTAAAATACCACCACGTGTAAGCTGTTGTGTGGTTGGTGGTTGCTCTTGTTTTGACCCCAAAGCAACGGGAACACACGCCTCAGTTTCCGAGAGCGTGCTAGGAATGCTTTCAAAACCACAGCACGCTTCACGCCGTGGACTCGTGTTGACCCTTGAAATGCAGAACATAAAAGAAAACGCTCCATCCAAACGACTGGCGACATAATTCCCACCAGGGTGATGGCTGAGTGGCGACACTATTCGCACCAGGGTGGTGGCTGTTTGGGGTGCACGTGAGGGTCGGGCCGGACCATTGAGGAGACCCGGAAAACACACAGCAGACAGGCCAACTTGGAAACCGCTTTTACTGAATGGGCTCTCGGCAACAAGGGGAGAGCAAAAAAGTGAAAACAAAATTACGGCCTGTCTAGCATAAAAAAGGGTTTGACCGTGGTCGGTTGCGATGCGTCGATTGAGGTTCTCAATTACCACCCCCCAACAACTTGAATTGTAGCGTCGTCCCGAGGCAACAAAGGCGCTAGCAACCAACCGCGACTCACCAAGACAGCCAACCAAGGACACAATTTAGGCGGGCGTGGGAAGCGTCCTTCTTTCTATCTTTATCTTTATTTTGTTTTATTTTGATCGGTCTTCTAGGGCTCTTTTCTCGACCGGTGCGGTAGCTGTTGTTTTCTTTCTATCATTTTGTTTTCTTTTCCGAGTGGTTTGCACCCTATTAATGTTTTGTTTCCCCGCGGCGTCGTATGTGCCGGTATTGTTGCGACCGCGGGCTCCCCATTTTTTGTGGACTATAGAGCTAATGTGAGAAACAACAGCAACAACTCACGGCAAACTTATCGCAAGCCCGCACCTGCATCGCCACCATACGAGACAACACAAAGCAAAATAGTCCACCGACAACCACCAACAGCAACTATATCCACGATTGTTCTCATCGTAATTGGAATAATCAAAGTAAGTATTGTGTTTGTTCTCATCGGAATCAGAATAATATCAGAATAATCGTTTTTTCCTCATGGGGAATCAGAACAATCAGTACCAACGGCGGTGGCTGGCGCAAACGGCGAACAGGAGTGTGCGTGTGGTCGTTCGTTGGTCACCTGGCGTGAGGAGCGGAAGCGTTCGAGTACTGGCCCGATTCCACCGCCGAGGAGAACTCCACTCCTCGCCACTCCACCGTGCGAGCGGGGATCTTGACCAAAGGCCGTCCGTCCACGTACGTCTGCACGCATCGCCGGCGCAAGGAAAAAAGAGGCACAAAGAACAACGTTTGTCAACGCTTGTCGTAAGCTCCTGTCGCTCAGCACCGACGCCTTTCGCACCACTATTAGTAACGTCCACAAAGAAGTATACGACACCCATCATGCAGTGCTCGACAACAAAACATCGTACGGTTAGGCACTGCTACAGCAGTAAAGAGGACAATCGGAATACAACAACCGCAACCAAAAACACTGACAACAAAAAATCGTACAGGAAGGCACTGCAACATCAGCACCAGTACCCTCTTGAGTGGGAGGGAACCATGGTTATCAAAACCAAAACCATGTTGTTCAAAAGAAAACGAGCCAGTTCTTGTTTCTCCCCCACCGTCTTTGCACACTCTCTTCCGTGCCAGGCGATAGTGATGGATGAAACCTCTTTCTCTAGATGCGTGTTATTGTGTTTTCGTCCTGCTGTATTGGGTACCCAACAACGAGAGGAAGACTTTGAAATACACCAAAACGTCCGCGGCCGCGTACTCAAAGGCTCACGACAGCACTAACCCCGAACTCGAGTGGTCCCGGTACAATGTCGGTGAGATCCCTCGACACATACGGAACATTCAAGTTGTTTTCGTACTCTGACCAGTGCCCGCTATACTGCCGGTTCAAGGTGCTGGCACCTACCGGCACTATTGCGCGAACCACGGCCGTACCTGCGATTTGGAGTGGCGCATCATGACCACTCCAATGAGAGCCCTGAGCAGCTCCAGCGCCCCGTAGTCCTTCGCCTCGAAGGGCTCCCCGACCTTCTTCTCCCAGAAACCGTCGTTCTGGAGGCTGAACGGCCACACCTGCACACACGGCGGAGGGAGGCAGGACAAGGCTTTGGTGAGTTTTGCTACAGTCAGGCTCGACGGCTGTTTGTGACTTTGCTGCAATGAGGCCGGTAATTTTCGCTGCTGCAGTCAGGAAGGGCGGTGTGTTCGACGTTGCTGCAGCGAGGCGTGTGATATTGCTGCAGTCAGGCAATACGGCGCGTGAGCACCAGCCCATCCATACTCTTGGTTGCGATTCCGACCATCACCACCGTAACGTGCGGTGTCGACCTTTCCTACAGCTGCAAGAGTCCGATCCTGTTGGCGCGCACATGGAAGGCACCACATACTGCTGTGTACGCAACTATTTAGAGCCAGCGTCACGGTGAGGAAACAATATACATGCCAGCGAGCGAGCGAGCGAGCGAGCGAGTGAAAACAATCGATGCGCACTTGTCTGGAGACAGTTTAGCCCACAAGGTTCACGTTTGTCCCGACTGACCTACCACGGCCTCACCGAAACAAAATCGACGATTCAACATTGTACAAATGGGTATAACTCGCAGTCACGATGGGCGCAGCCCAATGCCGGCGATAAGGGGGAGCGTTGTCAACGATGTTGTGGTGATCGGTGCGTCGAAAGTCAGCAATATTTGTGGGCCGAAATCTGGTACACTTGTCCAATTTTAGAAGCCGAAGACGCCTCCCACCGAATATACGATGCACCAAATACCCCCGTTCCCATTTTGCCGGTACTCATGGGAAAAAAAAATAAAAGGTCACGGTAGTCACTGCACTCATGGGAGCAACGTTCATTGTGTTCATTGCGCCCATTCGGTGTAAATTTCACGGGACTCATCTCGCACCCATGGGTCTAAAGCTCATCGCACTCACCGTACTCACTGAAACTGTCGTGTTCACTGCACTCATGGGCGCAACGCTCTTCGTGGTCATTGCACCCAGTGGGTGTACTTTCACTGCGCTCAATTAGCACCCATGGGTCCACAGCTCATCGTGTTCACTACACTTCAGGCGAGCAACGTTCATTTGTGTTCATTGCACTCGACGCGTGTAAAATTTCACAAACAATTGTGTCCATGTTCATGTGTTCACCTGGAGGAAGTTGAGTTCCCCGTGCAGGCTGTCGATCTTCCCCGCGATGGGTGTCCCCGATACCATCCAACGGTGAGAGGCCTTCACCTGATTCGCGTTTTCAAAAGCAGCAAGAGCGAAACAAATTCGACAAAAATGCACATTCTGTTTTCCCAATAGTATTTCGTTTCTGGTGGATATTTCTGAGAGGAAGCGTTTCTGCAGAAGCATTTTCAAAGACGACAGAGACATAAAAAGCAAGGAAAACAATCTTCACTTAGATGGGGGGTTCACGACATCATTCCAACGAAGCTTGTTCCAAATACTGTCCTCTCCAAAATCTAAACCAATACTACTGCATGCATGCATGCATGCAGGTCTACCAAACGACGATGACAGCCGGAGCCACCCGCGCAACAGAAGTTACGAAACCGCTCCCCCCCCTCCGTTTCACTCGTGGAACCAACCGCACGACATGTTCGGCAGTGCGACGAGCCGCCCCCCCTTTCCCTTTCACGGTTCCGGGCACACTCGCTTGCCTGCTGGCACATCTGGGCGATGTTGGTGGTGGCAGTCTTGATCTCCTGGCACTCGTCCAGGACACACCTGTGAAAGTTGATCTACATCATCAGCATCAGCATCAGCAGCAGCAGCAGCAGCAGCAGCAGCAGCAGCAGCAGCAGCAACGGCGTCCGTTCACATCAAAATTGTTGTTGTGGAGCACATTCGGGCTATAGCTGGCTAGCTCGTTCGTCGTCGTCGTCATCATCACACGCGTATCTCAACAACAACAACAACAACAACAACAACAAACAAACTGCTTGTTTCTACGCATAGTTATCAAGTTCTTAAGTGGCTCACAAATGGTGCTCAAGGTCTCTGTCTAGATTTTATCGCTGAGCATGAAGTCCATAGTTATCAAGTTATCAAGTGGCTCACAAATGGTGCTCAAGGTCTCTTGTCTAGATTTAGTGCCGAGCACGAAGTTCACAGTTATCAAAGTTCTCAAGTGCGCGGGTGCTATCTGTACAGCCCGTCTGTACAGCAGTAGCACCCACCTTCTGGAACAGGCTCTTCCTGGTGCGGAGGAGCTCGTAGGTCGTCAGGACCACGTCGTTATCCGCCACGAGCGCCGCGTCCACCTTGAAATCTACCCGCACCGTCTCGTCCTCGGCGCCTCGAGCTGCTTCCGCCGCAGCCGTGCCGTTCCAGGAGCCGTTCCCGGAGCCCGTACCACCTCCCAACGCCGTTGATGCTGTTGATGCTGCTCTTGCTGTTAGGTTAGCGTCGTCGCTACTTCTGTCGCTGTCGAACAGCCTTCGGTTTTCGATTCTTCGAACTTGGTCAGCCGTGAGTTCCACGTGGCCCTGCATGTGTGTTTGTTACCCCCCCCCCCCGCGCGCGCAATTGTACGCCTCGATTAACAGATGCGGTAGTTGAGAGTGTTACAAGAAACCGACAACAAGGTAGTGAAGACAAAAAAAATTGGCAGTGTTAAAACACTCAAAACACAGGGTAGCTTCAAATGAAACAGAGAACAAGGCAGTGTTAACACCCCAAAAAAAAAACGTGGCAGAAAAAAACAAAAAAAGGAACATCAGCAAAGTACCATCGCTTCCGGCGAGGAGGTGCGGAAGGCGTGTTTCGTTGATGGTGTTGTTGATACGAACGACTCCTGCGATTATCGGTGGACTTGCCTTGCGGAGGCACGAACCCTCGTAAGGGGCCCCTTCCACGTCCATCGACCCGACGGGCTGGTACGGTGCCAAGCACGTCCTCCGTTGCCTAGCCATCCCTGACCTGGGGTAAGTGTTCGCGCCTGCAAGAGACGTGAGAAGAAGAAGAAGCAGAAGAGTCCACAACATGAACGAAACAGGACAGGGCTGCAAGCAAGCAAGCAAGGGAGCGAGCCAGCAAGCCAGCAAGCAAGCAAGCAAGCAAGGAAGCAAGCAAGGAAGCAAGGAAGCAAGCAAGCACGCAGCGAGTGGCCACGAGAGACCATTGCACAGCAACCGCCCAGAGCGAGAGAGAAGGGAGGTAATAACACCACCCAAAATAAAATAAAATAAAACATGGATTAGGACAGCAACAGACATACATGTGTGTGGTGTCGCAAATACGGGGGGGGTGATGAGGGGTCGAAAGAGGGTACACTGCCTGTGGAGCATGTGCGCGCTCGAAACCAGCCGATAAGAACACCGGCGACATAATTGTTGCATCTCCAAACCTCCCCAAAAAGGTTCCTGGTTCTTTTTTCGTCGGGGTGGAGGCTAACCGACTGCCGCCGCCGGTACCCCCCCCCCGCCGGCCCGTCGATAAGGAGGGTCTAGAAGTGTACGGAATGTTGAAAGAAGGACTAGGGTTTAAGGACTACCTACATGGACCAATGGATGCAGGGACAAAGCTTAAGGTCAAATTCAGGACTGGGGACATAGGCCTTCGAGAACGTCGACGAAGACATAGGACGGTAGACGACGAAGACGACAAGTTCAAATGTGATTGCGATTTCGAATGCGAAGACCGTGTTCATGTAGTCGCGGAATGTCCGTGGTAAGAAGAGGAGAGGGAATTGTACAGGAATGAGCTGGGAAAAATACAAGGGACGTACAGGGAGATGTTTGAAGCATGGAATAGAGAGGGGAGGACGGTAGCTGTACTGGGGAGTAGGAAGTGGTTTGAAAAGGCGGGAAGGGATATCATTAGGATAGACAGACTAGGGAAGACATTTTTGAACCACCTTTGGCGAAGTAGGAAGGAACGATTGGTCATCGGTGATCGGTCCTGTGGGAACAATGCCCCGTCCTCTCGAGGACGCGTGGTCAATGGTCTAACCGCTAAGGCATGCAACACATAAGAGTACGCCCCTCCCCCCCCCCCCCCCCC